GCCGGTCCGCAGGGCGTCCGGGGCACCGGATGCAGACCCTGCGCCCTCCGGAGAGGCAAGATGCCGAAAGACAGCTCTGCGCAGCTTTAGTTGCATCAAATTCTCAGGAATAAGATGTCACCTGTGTCATCCCAAGGCGGTCAGGAGAGGCCTAGATTGAATTTCCCAAAGAGGTCTAAGAACTGCTTCATGCAAGAGCCAGTCCTCTTCCTTAAACGAAGGGCACTTGGCTGGCTGCTGGGCTCCTTCCGCCATCCAGGGGCTACGCATGGAAAAAGTGCTTACTGAGGCCTGCCACAAACTTGTACAGAGAACGGCGTAATGCCCTCCTGCGCAGGTGTTTGCTTGTTTGTTTATTGTTTTTAAATGATACGTGTTCCCTGTATTCTGAGAGTAGTGAGTCTGGTTTTGAAATATTCTTTAGAAAAGATTCACTCCTCTCGCGAAAGGATTTAAAAGGCCCTTTTTTGCATGACGTGCGGCCTGGTTTTAGCCTGGAACATAGTGTATGCAATTGTGCACGCCAGAGCATTTTGATGAGCTAAGGAGATTCCAATGTTAAGTGCAAAGGCAGTCAAACATTGAGAATAATGAGGGAAGAATATATTGACTCTAAGGCAAAGGAAGGAATCATGCTTATATTTTAAAAATAAAAGCACAGTTTTGAAGGCAGAAAGGTCGGTGTGGCAAGCAGGCCTGAGGATCTCTGGGAGGCCCAAACAGAGCCGTGATAATTATGTTACAAATCACACAAAAGATTTATTTTACAAATCAATCTCCATGAGGATGGGGGGGGTCGTATTTACAGAGAACCTAGGCTTGCAACGGAGTGGAAGAGTGCTGCAGGTTGGTCGTCAGAGCAGCTCAGAAGTGAACACAAACTTCCTTGGTCCTGAGACAACATCTCAGGAAGCATCTCGATGTGTCTACGCCATCGCCCTGCAGCTCCGGTGTTCAGAGGCATGGCAATCGCTGTCAGGCACAGATTGGAGTGCAAGGATTTACACAACTGTGGGCCCTGATGATTAACAGCATCCACAGCCAGTAGCACCTCAAGGGCTGGTTTAGCCAGACATGGTGAGGTGAGATGTGTCTGCTTATATAGGTTGATATCAGGCAAACCTCTCGGGAAATCTTTTTTTTTTTTTGAATGGCTCATGCACAGAACAGGTGTAGCTGAGCCATGTGGATTTCTCCTGGAATCAGTTTTAGAGTTGTTTACTGTTCATTCGGTGAGTGAATGGAGTCACTTAGGTTATGGTTTCTTATGCTCAGAACAGTCGGGCAGTGTACATTCACAAGTATGTCAGCAGTTCCCAACCTCCCCAAGGGGGAGCACCCTTTATTCTCTCTATAGACTACCCGTTTTAAGAGGTCTACTCCACTAAACAGTTTATTAGGTAATGTTTGATCTTCCACTTGAAAACAGGGCAATATTTTTGTGTATATATAACTGCCAATCAGTTTCCACAAAACTTGAGCTAACCTGTTGGCAATAGTGGATTCCACCATAAAAATCTCGTAGTCTAATTGTAGTCTTTTGGAAACTATGAAAACTATTCAAAAACCTTCAAGAAAACTGAGGCATTAGGTTGGGGAGGTAGCTCAGCGGCATAAGCACCTGCCTGGAAAACTGAGGCATGCAGATTAAGAACCAGGGCTGAGAAGTCGCGACGGCCATATTGCTCTTTGCTACCCCAGGAAGGTAGGAGGGAGGAGAGCAAACAATTTGGCCTCTCAGCTCATCCCATCTGGGTTCAATGCCCAGCTTTGTTGCTTACAGGGTCACTTAAGGCAAGTTATTTAACCTTCCTGTGCCTTAGCTTCCTTCTTTTATTTTCTGTTTTTCCTTTTAGCTTTCTTCTTTTCAAATGAGGCTAATTTTAATATTAATGCCAGCCTCCTAAGGCTTTTTGAAAACCGAATGAGGTAATGTCATAGACAGCTAAATTAGACAGGAATATCATATGGCAGTCAGACAGGGCTAGGCCCTCGGAAGGAGCCAGTAGAGATGATGGGACATTTTGCAACTGTGGGGGAGACTCTGTCCACTGAGTGCCAGACCTCAAGACAAAAGAAGAATGCCCCACATACTTCCTAGATAAACACCAAGGACTGATATTCTATAGAGGTATCCACCAACTCGAGGAAGCCAGAAGAGCCCGTGCTCTGTATTTGTGCCCACTTGTTACGTGACTGGCTTCCTCATTTGATCCTGACTTAATTACTTTTACCTGAGTAATTATGCTCGTAATCTTATGGACCACAGTTTGGTCCCACTCCTTGTTCACCTTTTGATTTCCCATTTTTTCCCTGCCTTGGACCCGCCTTACTTCATGGTTTTATATTACAAAAATCCCTAGAAAAGGCAGGGTCCTTAACAACCAGAGCGCTTGCTCTCTCTCTCTCTCTCTCTCTCTCTCTCTCTCTCTCTCTCTCTCTCTCTCTGACAGAAGCTTTCTTTCCCCAATAAATACATTCTGCTCTTGACCGCCATTCTTCCTAAAATTCATTCTTCGATTTTAGAGAACATGAACTCATACCGGACATCTAACAGTTTGGGAGTTTACCCTATATTACTAATACATGCAAAGTATATACAGTAATACTTGGTACGTAGCAAGTGCGCTTTAATTGCAAGCTCATGTGGCTACTGTTGTATTAGGAGTTAACTGTTGAGATTTTGGTTTTGGTTTTGGTATTGAGGGTTGAACCCAGGGCCCCACACATGCTAAGTACAGGCTCTGCTACTGAGCTAGACCCCCAAAACAAGAATTCCAAGTTCTGTGTTCCTGTCTTCCAAACAGTGATAATCATAACCCAAAGGTTATCTGAAACAACCTTTATACTCTAGAAATTTTCCATGACACATAGCTAGGGACACAGCAGAGTGCCTTAAGGGGATCTGAACACAGGCCTGACTTCACGGTCCACTTTTTGCTTCGCGCCTGTGTTCCAGGTGGTACCTAGATCAGCCCCTTCAACAGCTCATTACTGGTGCAATCAGCTCTAGCTTCCTAAGAAGCTTAGCAAGTGAATGGCTCCTTGAATCCACTTGGACTTCACACCAGTGGCATTTCTTTCTCCTTAGAGCCAAATGTTTCTCCAGAAGCAAGTAGATTTCCCCAA